GGCTTTGGGTCGCTTCGGGGCCCTGGAGCTTTCTGCTTTGTGATCCAGGTGGTTCCTTAGATCCTTCGTCTCCGCCTCATGGACGGGGAGTCCTCGGGAGAGGAATGAATCCCTCGACCCTCCGCCTGAGGCAGCAAACTCGTCGAGCCGGCTAAGGACGTTTACATTGTCATTCTCCAGCTGACGTAATCTATCGCCAAATTTCTCTTCAATCACCTCTGCCAGCTGACGGGCCAAGGGGGCTGATCCTCCTGACCTGATCCCCATACTGGTTTGAGGGGTTACCCCCCTTGACCGAGTAGAGGCACTTTTAATCGTACTGGTGCGATCCCTCCCTCCGTGATGGCAGGGAGCTTGCAACTCACGACTCCGTTGGTGGGTTCCTTTCCCTTTCTGTCTGGTGTTCACCATGGTCACTGTTTTTTTTTAGAGAAAAGATTAGGAAAACTACTCGTTTCTCACAGACGGCGCCAGATTGTGCGGGCTTGATCCTGCACGATATATAAAATATTGGGAACAGATCTCTCCCCTGGTGAACTTTGGGTGAGCCGGTCGAGTGGCCAAACACACTGCTCGGAACAGCCTACAAGGAACGGTGGCAACCTGGAACGGCAAAGGAAGATCCTGGGAAAGGAAGAACGATCCTGTACGTACGAAAGGTATTTCCTGGAACAAAGGAGAAGAAGTTAGAAGGGCGCCGGAGTGTTTTCCGGCGTATCCCCTCCGACGGTCTAGTCAGTCTTTGAATGAGAGAGAGGAAGGAGAAAACACTGATGAGGATAATTTGTAGTAGTGAGTTTGTGATTGCATACCATCTTTGCCTTTTGGGAGGAGTATTTATACCTCAGAAGCTCATGATTGCTGTCAGTGTGGTCAGTAGGTGATCATCAGGCACTGGTAGCGTGTGTATTGATTTGACGAGGAATGTCTTCTCTAATTGACTGCTCGGGGTCCCGAGCAATCAATGTTGAGTCGTCGGGACGCCGACGGTACAATATGCTCCTTTCGGGAAGGATGTAATAAATGCTCCGTAATATGAGCATTTATTGTCTTTCATATCCGAACCTTACCGCATTGAATGCGGTCTCGTCAACAGAAGGGTGCAATTAATTGTTTGCTTCCCAAAGCGCATGTCAGCAATAGCGTGCGGTTTGCCTGTTTTTGATGTGATATCATATGCCACGCGTCCGTCACATATTGGCTATGACTTCTGTATTCCAGCATGTTCTGACATTACTTGTGTAAGACGAGGTCATGATGAATAGTCTAGACTGGCATAGGCTGATGTCCCGTACGTCAGTAACTTTATCCGTGAGTAGAGGAAGCGTCCAGGATGGAGTGACCCTCGGCACCGAGGAAAGGCTCACCTCGGAGGACCAAGGGGTGGTGTGTTTCCGAGGTACATGGTGACCGAGGACACGTGTCGTTGTATAATGCACCGAATATGTGATCCTATATGAGAGGTACCTCGGGGGAGAGGACGCTTTTGCCGATGGTGCTTGAACCCGAGTAACATTGTTTTAGAAACCCCCCGAGGACACGTGTCTTCATCATAGGCTTTTCAGAAGAGTCCCATCACTACTGTTACCCGCTACTTATTCTAGCAATTGCATCTGCCATTCCTCACCCTGCCTTCACAGTGAATTTTTTCGATTGTTATATTGATGGACGTTCAATTGTTGAAGGTTCCACCGTTGAGCACATGGCATGTTGTAGAAATATGTCCAGTCTTTTATAGGTGCAGTTTGGGTTGGGTGAAATTTGGGACACAAGTGATTGCAGCGTGAAATGTAGGAGCATAAAACAAACTAAATTATTTGGACCCAGTTCAGAAATTGGATTATTTGAGCCCCAATCGGGTCAATTCATCACATTTTGAATATATTTTAAAGCTCATCAATTTTTTGAACTTGAGTTGAACTCAACTCGATAAGCTAATTAACCTCTAAATACCATGTTAAATCAAGTAATTTGAGGTCGACTATACAAAAACTTGTTTATGATTGGGTTGTAACATAAATGAGTCTAACTTAAAATTTATTTATTTTTTTGGAAAAAAAAACTCCTTAAACTAAGCTTGCATAGTTTATTATTCGATTTGATGTAACTTAATACAATACTTATGTGTTTTCATTCTTTGTATATTTTATAGTAAAATATATTTTTTGATCCCCGAATTATGTTTTTTCTGTCAATTAATCCCAAATCTTTTAATTGTGTCAATTTAATTTCTCAACTCTTGAATTTTGTGTCATTTTGTTCCAATAAAAAATGGCAGTTGGAATTTGCTAACAGAGATTAGCACTTGATTACACTAAATGTTCATTCTTTGAAAATTTTAAGGACTATAGTGACACAAACAGTAAATTTAAAGGACCAAAATGATTTAAGTCGTAAATTCGAGCGATCGACGTGACATTTTAAGTGTGATGGCATGAACATCTATGTAAGTCAATTCAAACTACGGTTTTCGATTTAACCAAAGTGCTTGTTGTTTGTTGATGCTTTCTTGTTCTTTGTTCCATTTGTTTTTGGTTGGCATCTGAACCTAAAACCAAAGAAGCCATATGATATTTAAGCATTGGTACTATGAAATTTTTTGTGGGATTACATGTTCTTTTTACATTAGAAGGCCAATCAAGAGACTTCATAATATATAACCATTGAATTGATAATGAGCACTATGAAACATTGAAACTTAAAATTAATTCAATAGTTACATTGAACTGACATTATTATGTTGCAGATTAGGTCCCCATAACATTGCTCTTTTATATATATGCAAAACTAACAGCAATCTTTCAATCTTCAACCTCCTGCTGGTTTGTTCAATGGCTGTTGGAAGATCTCGAGAGGTTTCCTCTTCCATGTCACGATATACATATCATGTGTTCATAAGTTTCAAACGCAAAGATACATGCAAGATCTTTACCGATCATCTCTATACAGCTTTGGTATACACAGGAATTCACACATTTAGAGATGATGATGAACTTGAGAGAGGAGAAAACATCACGTCACAGCTGCTAAAAGCAATCGAAGAATCGAAGATTTCAATAATTGTCTTCTCGAAAAACTACGCTTCTTCACAACGGTGCCTTGATGAACTTGTGAAAATCCTTCAACTCAAGAGGACGATTGACCATGAAGTTTTGCCTGTCTTCTATGACGTGCTGCCAAACCAAGTTAAAGAGCAAACAGGAAGTTTCGGAGAAGCATTTCCGAAACATGAAGGGCTACTCGATGCAGAGACAGAAGGTAGAAGGGTGGAGGGCAGCACTTAGAGAAGCTGCTGATTTAGAAGGGATGGTCTTAGAAAATCAAGCTGATGGGTAATTTTCTCAAAAGTCCATTGCTTTACGTCATTTGATTCAAGACTTTCTTAATCCATATGTCAATTAACTTTAACTATTAAAATTTTTTTTTCTTCTGATGATTTTGTTTTTCCTTTTTTCGCCTGGAATATTTAAATCAATCAAACTTTTTTGCCAATAAACATGATCATGATTCAAAAATGCATTGACCATTGGGTAAAGTATTATTTTAAGAATACCAACTTTTTCTTTGCATTTCTTAAGTTTCAAAGTATCTTATTACTCACTTCATCTACATAAAAAGTGTATTAAAATTCTTGTTTGACTTTTTTTTAATGTCAAATATTTTATATTCTTCATTAGCATAAACAACATTCTGTTCATGAGTTCTTAATCTCTCTCATCACCTTACAATCTTTTGTGATTCACATGAAAATTTTGTATTCATGTCAACTTTTCCTCACAATTTGTAGGTATGAGTCAACATTTATTCAGGAAATTGTAAAAAAGATTAGGAGTAAATTGGACAGCATGGTCTTGAATGTTGCTCGCTACCCAATTGGAATAGATTTTCGAGCTAAAGGTATAAATACGTGGCTACAGGACCGATCAATTGATGTTGTCATAGGAGTGATAAGTGGAATGGGAGGAATAGGAAAGACGACTATTGCCAAAACTGTTTATAACCTAAACTTTGATAGTTTTGATGGTAGCAGCTTCCTTGCAAATGTCAAAGAAACTATGGAGCAACCCAAAGGTTTGGTTCGTTTACAAAGACAACTTCTTAATGATGTTCTGAAGGGAAGAAAGGGAAAAATAAATAATGTTGATGAAGGAATAACTAAGATAAAAAATGTTATAAGCTGTAAAAGAGTTCTTGTCATACTTGATGATGTGGATGAAGTAAAACAAATAGACACAATATTTGGAATACGAAATTGGTTTTATCCAGGAAGTAAAATAATCATAACAACTAGAAACGAGCGATTGCTAAGGGCCCATGAATCATATAAGATTTTTAAGATATATGGATTGAATGATGATGAATCGCTCAAGCTCTTCAGTTGGCATGCCTTTGGAAAAGACCATCCTATTGAAGGTTTTGTTGAACACTCAAAAAATGTAGTCCAGCACTGCGGAGGGATTCCTTTAGCACTTGAAATATTGGGGTCTTCTCTATCTGGCAGCCGAAGTACAGTGGTGTGGGAAAGTGCCATAAAGAAATTAGAAGTGATTCCTAACAATGAAATTCACCACAAGCTTGAGATAAGTTATATGTCATTAGATGATGACTATGACAAGAAATTGTTCCTCCACATTGCATGTTTCTTTGTCGGAAAGAACAAAGATTATGTGGTCAAAATTCTCGATGAATGCGATTGCTACACAACAGTTGGAATCGAAAACCTTGTGAGCAGATGTTTGGTAAAGATAGAAAATGGCAACAAGCTAATGATGCATCAATTGATTCGAGACATGGGGAGAGAAATTATTCGCCAAGAATCACGAGATGATCCTGGGAAGCGTAGTAGACTATGGCATCATAAGGACTCCTTTTACGTTCTGAAAGAAAAAGCTGTAAGCAACACACTTGCTTTGACTACCTGAGCAAGCCAAATCTTCTTTGCAATTTTAAGTCTTGTGCATTCATTCTTGTAACTTAAACCAGTTCACTTTTATTTTCAGGGTACAGAAAGAATTGAAGGCCTCATCCTCAACATGCACATGTTAGAAGATGAGTCTTCCTCAACATTCTTTAATGTTACTAATGCAAAACGTCGTCTTGAAGACAGTTTAGGTACATCCTTGCTTCCATACCAGGGGGATACATCAAAACGGCGTCGTCTTGGCTTCTTGTCGTGGGAACCAATGGCCACTGTTTGGACAAAAATTTTTCCAATGCCAAATAAGATAGACTTGGACACTGATGCATTAGCAATGATGCACAAACTAAGCCTACTCCAGCTCAACTATGTAAAACTCAATGGAGGCTACACAGAATTTCCGAAGAATTTAAGATGGCTGTGTTGGCACGGATTCCATTTGAAGTCTATTCCTAAGAATTTTCCTATAGAAGGCCTCGTTGCTCTTGATCTGAGAGAAAGCAGTTTGGAATACGTTTGGAAAGGAACCAGGGTATGATCAACTTTCCTCATATTTATTTCATTATTTTTATTATTTTTTTATGAGATTTTATGACATTTCTTCCTTTTTTCAATCACAGCATCTCGTATCATTGAAATTCCTTAATCTCAGTTATTCTTATAGCCTGACCTCAACCCCTGACTGCTCAGGACTACCTAGTCTTGAGAGATTCATACTTAAAAAGTGCACAAGTCTGGTTAAGGTTCATGAGTCCATTGGAGACCTTGAAAGACTTGGTTTTTTGAATCTAAGAGGCTGCAAAAATCTGAGAAAACTTCCACAAAAACTTGGTCAGCTGAAATCCCTTGAAAAGATCATTCTCACTGGTTGTTCAAAGCTCGAATGGTTGCCTACAGAGCTGGAAAAATTGGAATCTTTGACAGTACTTCATGCAAGCAGAACATCAATAAATCAGTTACACTCCATTGTTGGTGGGGATTATTCATGGCCTAACCATATTTGGTTTAGGGCCTCAAAATTTATCAAAAATGTGGATTTCTCTCTGGCTTCTTTTCCACGCACATTAGGTAAATTAAGTCTTGCGCATTGCAATCTTTCAGACGATACTATTCTCAAGGACCTAAGTTACCTACCCTTGTTATGGGAATTGGATCTAAGCGGAAACCCAATATCAGTCCTACCAGAGAGCATCAAATGTCTTACTACGCTAAAATCGCTTTTGTTAGCTGATTGCACAAGCCTCAAGTCACTACCAGAGCTTCCGTCCAGCATGTATGAATTGGATATAGGAGATTGCAAATCATTGGAAAGAATGAGTCTTCGGCCACAGTATTTGAATTCATTAATATACAAAATTTTTAATGGTTGTGACAAACTAGAGGATGTTAATGGTTTGTTTAAGTTAAAACCCTTAGGGGACTTTGATGGAGAAATGATCAATGATTTGGGTTTGGGTTTGGTTGACTTGGGATCCTTGGAAAACACTGAGGTAGAACTTTGCAATAATTTGACACGAACTATAAAGAAAGGTCCTGTCCAGGTGCTCTATCTCTCTCCTTCCTCTATTTTCCCCAAAATATGATATGCATATGGTATACTTATGTTTCTATAATCAAGCAACCTTATGATTACTTGTTCAGGGACTATATGAATGTGGTATATTCAGCACTTTTCTTCTTGGGAACGAGGTTCCAGATTGGTTCAGCTATAGGAGTATGGGATCCTCCATATCTTTTACTGTGCCTTTACTTCCTAATCTCAGGATTCGAGGCTTGAACGTATGTATTGTCTATGCACGTTCTAACGATCACCACCATGCTAATTTTCATGATTTCTATGTCAAAATCAGCAACAAGAGCAAGGGTATTGACTGGATATATGACCCAACGTTCTATGGCAATGAGGACTTGTTGTGGTTGAGCCATTGGAAAATCATTAATCAAGTGGAACATGGGGATGAAGTGGATATTTCGATGATTGTTGATTATGGTTTCCTGGTAAAGGAGTGTGGAAGCCAGATCGTATATGAGCAAGAAGAAAAGTGTTCCCAATCAAACAGTAGAGAAGATATAATTCAACACAAAATTTCTCCTTATCATAATGTTTTTGATGGGGATTTTTCAGCATATCAGAGAAGCAAAGGTTGTTATGTACTCAGCAATCATAACTTGGATCCTGATTTCCGTCCCCCGGAGCAGAACCCCCCAAGTGATGATTGGGATGACCCGAAGGTGTATGACCCTTCAATATGGGCCCCTATATTTGAGTCAGGTTCGCATCACTTAGCTTTTAATTAACTATTAAACTGAGCCACTAATAAACAAACAAGCATCACAATTGCTTGAATTATTTGAGTTAACCATAAAGATTTGAATAAAATTCGCTTGTAGCGTCGAAGAGATTTCAGTTTTCAGTAAATTCAAAAATTGTGGAATTGCTCTTGACGTGGATATTATGTTTATGAACAGTCAACCGAGCAATCTTTCAAAAAATTTGATGCTGTTGATGATCTGTACTGTGTACATTTACAGATGAGGATGAAGACGAGGATGATTATGACGTAGAAGAAGACGAAAATGACGATGAGGATTTTTGAATTTGCATTTTTCAGTAACCAGTTATCAGACCCATCCAGGTAGAAATTTTTTTAGCCAATATGCACTACATTTTCTGTAAATATGTTAAAAACATTTCTTTGATGAGCTGTTTATAGTATGTGTTTGGGACAACGCAAATCTTGGCTCGTCTGATTGTATATGAACCCAGTTTGAGCTTAAACTCAAGGTGTAACTCGTATTTAAGATCAAGCTGGGCATTTTTGTATATGTTCACAAGCCTAACGAGTTGGACAAAGTATGGCTCAAGCATGACAAGTTTTTCTCTGAGCTAATCCTGAGCTATTCACGAATAACTCAGCTTCATTGGCAGTCCTAACTGCAGTCAACCAATTATACCACACTTATAATAGAATGCGCCGGAGAATAAAAAAACAGATAATATGAATTTTGGCAAAAGTTGAAAGGACCCGACCACTGATATTTACAAAACAAAAGGGACAAAATAGTTTAAATCAACGAGAAATTTAATTGCATTTTTAGTCCTTAAAGTATATATTTTTTTATCAATTTAGTTCTCAATGTATTAATTTTTTTAATTTGGTCTTTAAGTATTCCATTCGTGTCATTTTGATCCCCACATGGACGGACCGTTAAGTTTTTGACAAAATAATCACGTGTTGGACACGTGATACTTTTTAAAAAAATGACACGTTGCCACTTCATCAAAAAACTTAACAGTCCGTTTATGAGAAGACCAAAATGATACGACTTGAATACTTTAAGGACCAAATTAAAAAAATTGATACACTGACAAAAAATGAATACTTATATTTACTATCATTGCCCACCTTCACCATCCACCACAATTCTCATCTCATTCTTATATTTATTACCTCTACCACCATCATCCTACCACCACTGTCGCCCACCGCCACCACCCACCACCACCTATTGCCACCCACTGTCGCAACCACCCATTGTTACCAACCCCCCAACACATACCCCCATCACCCGTTCTCGTCCACCACTACCGCCACTCATTGTCACCCATCCCCACCACACCTACTACCACCTCCACAATCACTGCCATTCGCCATCACTCACCACCACCGTCGCCTACAAGCACCCATTGTCGCCCCACCACCACCTTCGTCAACGCCCACCACCAGAATCCACTATCGCCACTGCCATTATCGTCGCCTCACCACCACCACTGTCAACCACCATTATCGTCGCTTATTACCACCCACACCCACTACCATCACCGCTGTCACCCATAATTGCCACTCCCATCATGTCACCTAAAATCCACCACCACCATTACTGTTGCCACCCACGATTGTCACCACCACCACAATCGTCACCACCCACCACAACCATCACCATCTCCCACCACTACTACCACCCCTCACCCCCTTATATTTCTTTCTCTATCCTCTATGTTTGTAATTTAATTTTGGATGTGAATACAAATATGTTTATGATTGATAATTTTTTTTTACTCTATGCCTTCAGACAAAAGACAATAAGTAGTATATATATATATATATAGGTAATAACAAAAATTATGGTGGGCAAGTGCCCCCTGCCCTTGAGTAGCTACACCCATGTTTGCCAAACCAAGAATGAAAACAATATTCCAATGCACGAGTCCAGTCACAGCCACCTTTGGGAGGGTCAGATCAAATTACCAGATGCACTAGGTTTATCCCTGGTGAAGAAAGACTATTTCTTGATTCGTACCCTTGTGACCCAAAACTCATGCAGTGAGTCCAAAGTTTCCAACTGATCATAGATGGAGTTTTGACCCAATATTATAAGGAAACTCTCTCTAATACAATTTGCAGATTACCACTGAAACAAGCCAATCTATTCCAAAAACTGAAGGAACATAACTCTGGCAAGACAAAACACAAACATTGATTCCATCCACATAGACTATGCTCTTGCGATAATAAACAAAGCTCAAGATGTTCTCTTAGCTATTGGTGGATTGAAAATTTGATTTGGGTTCCATTTGTTTTATGAAATGTATATGCCATGCTTTTGTGTTTGATTGTTAGTTGTCTGGTTATTGTTTAATCATATATTATTCCATATGTTGTGTTTTGAGGATAAGTGTGAAAAAGTTGAGGGATTACTAGATAAAATTCATTTTTTGGCTTCTTTGTGGACTTCAATGGCTAAGAAGTTTGAGGATACTCCTCTCTTATGTATTAGAACAAGTTGGAGAGCTTCATGTGGCTTATAGTCATTGTGAGGATTCCTTGTCCATCATTGATTTGTTTCTTGTAAATTTTTGCTTATGATTATCAATAAAATAATGTGTCTTATCGAAAAAAAAATGTTATTCTGTATTTTGTGTTTTAATCTAGTTACTAGGTCCCTAAACTCATCCCCATTTACCCCTCTCATAGGGTGGAGGATTTCATGGTGGAAATTTTTAGAGGACCCGAATGAGTGAAAACTTAAAATTGCCAATGAGTTTTTCTTATTGAAGTAATTTTTATATTTGGTGACAATTGTATTTTTAATTTTGAGAGATTTATCAATTATTGACGATTCTAGTATTCTATCGCTTTTTAGGTTGATGTGGTACTTCATTGTTTAGGTTGATTCCCGTATAAAAAGGAAGACCCTCAAGTTTCTCCAAAAAATTATACCTGAGATTTTTTTTATGTGGACTTGAAAAAAGAATTATACCTATGATTAATA